ACTCGATTTGAACAACATGGACAGAGTGCAGATCTTGACGAGGCAATTGAGCATCATCGTGCCGCCTTGGACCTTCACCTCGAGGGCCATCCCGATCGTTCCGCATCTCTAAGCAATCTTGCAATTTCCCTTCGTACTCGATTTGGACAACATGGACAGAGTGCAGATCTTGACGAGGCCATTGAGTATCATCGTGCTGCCTTGGACCTTCGCCCCGAGGGCCATCCCGCTCGTTCTGCATCTCTGAACAATCTTGCGATTTCCCTCCATACTCGATATGAACAACATGGACAGAATGCAGATCTTGACGAGGCCATTGAGTATCATCGTGCTGCCTTGGACCTTCGCCCCGAGGGCCATCCCGATCGCTCTGGGTCTCTGAACAATCTTGCGATTTCCCTCCATACTCGATATGAACAGTATGGACAGAGTGCAGATCTTGACGAGGCCATTGAGTATCATCGTGCTGCCTTGGACCTTCGCCCCGAGGGCCATCCCGCTCGTTCTGCATCTCTGAACAATCTTGCGGTTTCCCTTCAAACTCGATTTGAGCAACATAGACAGAGTGCAGATCTTGACGAGGCCATTGAGCATCACCGTGCTGCGTTGGAACTTCGCCCCGAGGGCCATCCAGATCGTTCTACATCTCTGAACAATCTTGCGGTTTCCCTTCAAACTCGATTTGAGCAACATAGACAGAGCGCAGATCTTGACGAGGCCATTGAGCATCACCGTGCTGCGTTGGAACTTCGCCCCGAGGGCCATCTTGATCGTTCTACATCTCTGAACAATCTTGCGGTTTCCCTTCAAACTCGATTTGAGCAACATAGACAGAGCGCAGATCTTGACGAGGCCATTGAGCATCACCGTGCTGCGTTGGAACTTCGCCCCGAGGGCCATCTTGATCGTTCTACATCTCTGAACAACCTTGCAGGTTCCCTCCATACTCGATTTGAACAACATGGACAGAGTGCAGATCTTGACGAGGCAATTGAGCATCATCGTGCTGTCTTGGACCTTCGCCCCGAGGGCCATCCCGATCGTTCTACATCTCTGAACAACCTTGCAGGTTCCCTCCATACTCGATTTGAACAACATGGACGGAGTGCAGATCTTGACGAGGCGATTGAGCATCATCGAGCTGCCTTGAACCTTTTCCCTGAGGGCCACCCCAATCGTTCCGCATCATTGAAGAACTTGGCTTCTTCATTGCTATCTGAATCTGATAATTCTGGGAACGTGGACACCTTTGAAGAGTGCATGCTACTACTCGAACAGGCAGCCGTACATAGGTTTTCAGGCCTGGTAGTGCGTTTCGAGGCTGCCAGTCAATGGGCTAACCGTGCTCGAAATCACTCACATCATACTACATCCAGAGCTTTCAAGCTCGCAATATTGCTCCTACAACAAGCTGCAATTGTTGGCCCTACTCTTCACATGCAGCACAACTTTCTCAAGAGAAAAAGAAGTACGGCATACTCACATTAGACGCTGTAGCCTATGCTGTAGAGGGAAATAGGCTCGAAGAAGCTATAGAAATACTTGAGCAGGGGAGAGGTTTACTCTGGTCACAGATGCGTGGTTTCAGAACGCCTCTAGATCGCCTTACAGAGACAAACAGAGAGCTTGCTGATAGATTCAAGAATGTTAGTCGCCAATTGGAGCACCTTGCAACAGCTTCTCCTGCGTTGCAGCTTAATTCAAACGCGACAGGAAGCCGAACATCCGGGCTGGACGTACATAGAGAACGGAAACTGTCTGAGGAGAGGCTGAAGCTGAAGAAGCAACTCTCTGGCAAACAGGAGGAGATTATTAACAAGATACAACAAATTCCTGGGTTTGAGAACTTTCTTGCAGCTACGCCGTTCAAAGTGCTCCAGCAAGCAGCGTCGGAGGGTCCCGTAATTGTGGTCAATCTCAGCAGATATCGATCCGATGTGCTCATCGTCCTTTCCTGTGAGGAGTCCCCAGTCGTCTGTGTTCCATTAGATGGAGAGTTCGCCAAGGATAGCGTTAAACTGTTTGCCGGACTCGTGGGAACGCGCATGAAATCCGGGGCTGAGTCACCAGAGTATGACAAGGTACTCCGCAGTGCGATGAAGGTGTTGTGGGATAGGGTGGTCTCCAAAGTCGTCGACAAACTAAAGGAGCTCGGAATTGCCGAAGGATCACGTATTTGGTGGTGTCCTACGTCTTGGTTGTCTACGCTTCCATTCCACGCCGCAGGCCCGTTCGAGGATACAGACGGCGGTACGAAGTATCTGCTGGACAAATACATCTCGTCATATACCCCGTCACTCGGAGCACTCATCAATGCACGATTAGATGGGAGCGGAGGAGATCCGACAGTGCTTGTAATTGGAGATACTTCACTTTCCATCAGCTAAGCAGGAAATCAGAAACATAAGGAATTGTGGGATTAGCACTAAATTGATCATCGGCAGGAAAGCGTCTCGTGACACAGTAATTAAAGCGCTGCCAGGAGCAACATGGGTCCACTTCACCTGTCACGGAAATATGCATTGTCGATCTCAAGTACTGGTTGAGGTAGAAGAGGTCAGTTGAGTCTGCAAGGTACAGATGCTGAGAGGGGTCAAGAGTGAGAAGGAATAGGTAGATCCGAGCAGAATGTATGAGTTCCAAAGGTGACAATTAACAAGACAAGAGTAGTGCAGAACAACAAAGCTGCACTTCAGAACAAGGCAATACAAGACAAGACAAGGCAAGATGGAACGTTTACTAAGGAGACTGTCAAACTACACACTAAGAGTTGTAATAGAGAGTAACTTGATTGCTAGAAAGTACAAATTACATGAGGGTATTTATAGAAATTATGAGTCCTTTGTAGCTACTAGTCCTTTGTGAACAAATCCACTACTGTCTCCTTTGTATCAACCCATCCAGGACTCTGGATCTGAGTCCCCTTTGTATTGATCAACTAGCTGTCTAAAGGCTCAGAGTCTTGCCTTTATGAATTAGAACTAGAGTCCAGAACCCAACTAGTCTGAGTTGAGTAACTAAGACTATTGTGTAGGCAATAATAATGTAATCAAAGGATTACTAATGTGAGGATGATGCAACTTTGATACAACTGAGCCCTTCTGATCAGAACATATTAGAATGTATGTGTTGTGTGAGCATAATATCTCCTGGGTGTTTTAGAATGTGACTGTCCCTAGTCACACCTGAGAGTGTAAATTTACAAACTGGTGTACTTCATGTTTTGATCTTCTGCTTCTTTTTGAGTTTGTCCTTCTTCTTTAACTATATCATTATTGTAAGAAGTGAATCAGGTCTACAACTGAGTGTAGGCCCTTACCTAAAGGATGTAGGAGTTACTACAGTGTGTAAGGACAGTAAATTGACTATCAGTAGTAACAGAGTAGAGGGTGGAACTAGTGTGGTTGTAGGTAAGTTCTTAGACATTGTATTGTCTCTAGGTCTTCTGACAAGACAGTACAGTCAGATTAGGATACACTTACTGTATTAAGTGTGTAGGCCAGCTTTGTACTTACTGTACTATAGTAGCTTATACTTTAACTCAAAACATAAGTGTTATGAATTGATGTAGAGTATGGTAGCTGTAAGGATGCTCTGATTAGCAAACCACTTTGAGAGTATGAAGATGTTATGACTGTTAACAAACCAAGTATTACTCCTCTAACAAAGTAGGTAGTAGAGGTTGTAGTTCTAAGACTGTCTGATGTGGTTAGGCACACTGTCTAGAATGCTGAGACAAGTACTCCTATGAGTGAACTGGACATTCTGCTGGGTTCTGAGCTAGAGTATGAGTTGTCTACATACTGAGCACACAAGCAGGATCAAATGCTAGATAATAAGAGGTTGGATGTACTCCTTTGTGAGTAGTAAGGAGTACAACCAGACTGTCAGAATAATGAGGAGGACAACTCAAACAGTACATAGTCCCTTCTTTACTTATTAATGATTTGACTGACTACTACTAGTCACTTGATCTAGATACAGATTACATATATTTGGGTAGGAGGCATTCTGTATTGTATGTATCAGACTTCTACAAGACAGACTGGGTAGTAGAGGAGGTTGAAAACAGGCAGGTTGAGTTGTGGTTCTAGAACAGTTCTCTAGTGCTAGAGTTAGTACTAGACAGTAGCCTGACACTTTTGACAAGTCAGAGGTGTAGCAGTTGTGTCTGTTAGTATATAGTATACATTCAAGAGTATAGTAAGACAATTGTATACTTAGCATACAAGAAGAGTAAGATCTGTTACTCTCTTACAAAGACTAGTAAGGTAGTGAGGGATGTAAGGTTAAGGTGGGGGAGGACAATAGTGACAAACCTATACTCTGTAGCTAGACTGTCAAGAGTGTGTCTAGAGGATCTGGGTAAGTTGTTCTGAGATTAATACTAATAGCTTTTAAAGACAACATTCTTCTAAGTGAACTCTCAGAACACTCATTAGATAACAGTGAGTTCTGAGAGGATCTGGAGCTTGAATGTAAGCTTTGTGTTCTCAGAAGGTAGGTGGCTACCTATTATACAATGTTGGATACAATAATACAGGACATAAAGCAGCTACAGGCTAGGATGAGTGTAAAGGCAAGGTGTTAGAAGGATGGACAGAAGGATGGACAGAATTAGACATTCTGTTCAGAACAACTGAACCAGTATAGGTGAGATGGTTGATGTAAAAGCTGCCTGTAGAAGCAGCCAAATATAATCCCCCCTCTATAGTTTTGAATAGTATTTTCCATATGTTTATAGTAATGTATAATGTTACTAAAGTACAAGTGTAATAATTGTAAGGTAATAAGAGTGACTCAGTATTAATAGGTAAACAACAGAGGCAAGACTATATGTATACTGAAAGTAAGGCAAACTAACAGAATGAGAACAGAACAAGAACAGAACAAGTACAGAACAAAACTGAAAAAGAAACAGAACAAAAACAGAACCAAAATAGAACAAGAACAGTACAAGAACAGAATGAGAACAGAACAGAATGGAACAGAATGGAACAAAGCTCTCAGTACATGACTTTGAGACTGTTGTGACTAAAGAAATGCAAAAGTGGTCTAAGGGCTGCTAGACAAAAACCTGTGTACAAAAAACCTAGTAGGAAAAAACATACTACAGGGAAAACTATGTGGGTTCAAAGTATAAGTCTAACTATAATCTACAATTAGTTAAAAGCAAAATCAAAGAAAAACAGAAGATAGAGTAGAACAGGATCAGAACATTGTCTAGAATATTATAAGGGGTTAATAGAAAAAGGTGAATTCAAGAAAGTAAGGAATGTATAAGTCTATAGTAGTTGGCTACAATTAGCCTTTAGTCAGAGTCAGAGTCCTTGGAAGGCTTGTCTAACAGTAGTAGGTTGTCAGTGTCATCAATTTCATTAGCTGGACCAAAGTTTTCAACAAGACATATAACTGGAATCAAGAGTGTAGTGTAGGCAAAGTATAGAACCAAGTAGAACACTGTAATACAAAGACAGGAGACTGATCCATTAAGTTCAGCTACAATATAGGATCCTCCTTGTGTACAACAGACTACTATGTACAGTCTAAGATAGTATGGCTTGGTTTTTTGTCTGAGATCCATTTGTGATTTAGAGTTGTGTATGAGGACAAGTCAACTAGGTTCAAAGTTAAAATCTTTGATCAAGTGTTTGTGTGTTTCTTCAAATTGTTGGAGCAAAGCAATCTAGTCTGTATAGACATGTTCTGTAATAGCTTAAAGGTTGGCCAGACATTTCTGTAGTTGATGTACTTGAGTTATAATGAGTTCTGTCATTGTTATGAGTTTGTCTAGTACTAGAGTAAGATACATTACTTCTGTAATATTGAATAGGAGAAGTGGTTCAACACTATAGACAATAAAATAAAGGGACATACTAGTTGTGTGACAGATTGTTAGGAATTGTAAAATACAGTAACTAAGTTTGGAAAAGCTTAACTCAAGACTTGGGACTGAGTAGTTTATATACAAAACCCTATTGGTTACAAGTCTAGAGATTGGCCAGATCAACTAGGCTACCTTTATTGTCCTACTTAGTAAGAACTCCAGCTCAGCATTATTAACCTCTAATTATTACTAATAGGGGATCAATCCATTAGTAGAGAGAGGGGACAGGAAGGAGTAGGTACCAAGTCAGTTAGGAAAAGGTAACAAAACCTGAGGAC